CATGTTCGTACGAACCCTTTGTACAAACAAAAGTAAGAGAAATTTAGGAGAAGAATACGAACATGTTCTTGCATGAGGCCCATTAATCGTATTAATCGTCAAGTGCAAAAAAATAATCAATTAATGTTTTTCTGATGATTAATTGCATACGATACGATTATGCCCAACCGTACTAAGAAGCAGAAAAGACAGAAACTAAGAAAACAAATAAGCAGGCCAATGAAAACTATCATTTTAATTCACTGTGCGATTCATTGATTTATGGCTTACAGCAACCAGACTAGTTGACTTTACAGACATTGAGCTAAAAGTTAGCATCTTAGCAGCTGATAATCGTCTTCATCACAAACTTCACAAACACCAACTGATCACACAGAGCAGCTGTTAGTTTTGTTTTTCACAGCTTTTAAACAGGAAATCTTTCAGTAAGAAGTTAGGGTTTTGCTTTGGTGAAACATTTTCTAGCAAAATTTTTTTGACTCAGATGTGGGAATAAAAATGTAAAACTTCATAAAAACTGCTTTTTGACAACCTCAAGGCTGAGGTTTAGTTTTAGGGAACATCTTCTTACGAACATGACTAAGTCTGGATTTTTCCTGTCAGCATGATGCTGCTGTTACCATTCTGAAAAGCAGTTAGTAAGAAAAAGCTTGTATTTTTACCTGGAGGGGACGGGGTCATTCAAGCCTTACTGAAGGAACAAAAACAACCAAAGTTTCCCTGAAGATGATTTCTGCTCGTGTCTGATGATCTGGCTGCAATCGTAAGGTTTTCCTCTCTCACACACCAAGTTTAACCCAGAAAAGATTGATTGGTGAACTTTGTTTTTCGTCACTTACGTATGGTTTGATGATTAACTATGAAGCTGCAGACGACGCCTTCGTTGCTGCGCCCGGGGGTGAAGCCGTTTCCTGTGAGGACGATGTCGAAGGACTCTGGAACAAACACGACAACAGGTTCCTACAGTTTAAGCCAAGTTAAATTTAAGACCGTTTAAGACTTTTTTTATGCCAAGTTAAATTCAATTTGAGACCAATTTCGTAATAAACACAAATGACAAAAAAATAAAAATTGGCAAAAATTTATGAATCAAAGTATTTTTGGTTGAAGTATTCAAATATTGCTAACAGACCAATTGTTTTTATCCATTTCGAACTATAGCAGAAACATTCTTAGCAGTCAGTTTTAAACTTAATTTAATTCCTGAAAATCCTCTAACAACCCAAAATTTGGAGTTTTAGGACCCACAGTGGGGTCTTAACCCCAATTTGCTGTAGATGAAACCTTAAAGTGCCTGTAGCTGCGTTTCCATTGACCATGAAAATGTGCAAATTAGAATTTCAAAAATAAATTTGCTCAATGGAAACACGTCAATTTCGAAAAAAATTGGGCCCTATCAAAATTGGTGTATTTTGCAAAACTGAAATGGAAACACTTTTTTCGCATCACAGGAGTCACGTGATCAACAACCGGATAATTCTACTGGCAAAAAACATGATGAAGAAGAAGAAAACAGGAAGTAGAAGTAGTAGTAAAATCACCAAAGTTGTAAAAGAAAGTAGTAAACTCACCGAC